GACAATACCTCGTTTAACCTTTGTCCGATTTAAAACAATCCGGACAATACCTCGTTTAACCTTTGTCCGATTTAAAACAATCCGGACAAGCCTTGTCCCGTTTAATACCCGGATAAAACACTTAAAGGAAAAGACTAATTTCTTTCCAAAAATAAACAAGATTCATACAAAACCAGTAATAATTTTATGCAAAGGAGTTTAGAAATTACTCACCTTATCAAACTTTTGAAACCAAACACTTGAATCTTCAGCCAAGAATAATCCGGTCAACTCTCTTCTCTTTTTAAATCACACAACTTTTTGCCAAAGCAAGAAGGGAAAAATATGGAGGCTCAACCTCCCTTTTATACTTTCCAAATTATGAAAGTCGGCTAATCAGCCCTTTTTTCTTATTCACACTACCATATACACTTATGCACACATGCACACACACATGCATGCATACATATATTATGTATATATATATAACATATATATTTCATATTTTGCATATTTTCACATACCAGCATGATCAAATATAATAATTTATCATGCTATCACGAAATCATTTAATCAGATAATCAGACATTAATTTACCTTGGGTGATAACCAGGATCCAGTTATCACAGGGACCCTTAACATGCAATAAAACAGTTAAAAGTCTAGGTATCATGCTGTTAACTACCTAAATCCCTTAAACTCAGGCTCTGATACAACTTTTTGTAACACCCCAAACCACACATTGCAAGTAACACGTACTTCATACATAAGAAATACATATTATACCCCACATTGGTCCGTTAATACAAGAATCTATCAGTATAAAATACACGGTCCAAAAATTTAAAATACAAATTCTTGTACTAATCCCTGATCATCTACCAAAACTATACATATCGTCACCAATTCTTCATGCAAGTAAACATATGGGGAAAATTATCGCATTTTCCTTTTTCCCTTACCATCCGCACTTCCTATAATACATATTTAAAATCACAAAACGAGAGTTAGACCAAAAGGTCTAGTGACTTGCCCTATTTATGCTATTGCAGGGGGAAAATCACCAAAACTTTTAAGTAAAATAACTTTTCATATATATCACAAATATGTGAACAAGTAAGAGCATAACGCCAATACCTTTCGCTATTCAAGCCATTAATCTCTGCTTTTAAACAATATATCGAAACAAGACAAGTTATCATTAATCAATTATCAGAACACTACTTTTAAACCTCTTGAATCAAATAAGGTTTAATTACAGTTTCTGGCCAAACTTGTTATCTTCTCTTTTATAACATCCAGACTATGATTCTCATTAAGACCCCTGATTCTAAATCTTTAAATCACAAAGAAATAAAGATTTCAAACCATGGTAATCTTAAGGGATATAATAGTAAGAGTTATATTACAAAATACACACAAACAAATGCCACCCTTAAATCCAAATGTACACATCTCCTTGATATGCCACCCTTTACCCATGGTACACCTCTCCATGATATTCCACCCTTATCCCATGGTATACCTCTCCTTAATATTCCACCCTTATCTCTTCATCAAAATATTTCATAAAACAATTCCCATTTCTTGTAAATAGATCAATAAAATGACAAGTCAAAATACAGTCCGGTCAACCTTGTCCAAATAACAAATCCGGACAACTCTTCCCATGTTGTCTGATTGACCACTTAGAAATATTCATAATATTTTGTCCGGATTATTAATCCGGACAACTCTTCTCAAGGTTTGTCCGATTACAAATAAACCGGCCATCACTTAGCCGTATTCATACTTCTCCGATTTAAACTCATAACATGATTTAAATTTCATAAATTGCCTGACATATAAACCGGCTAATTCAAATGATCGATTTACTCTTAAACCGGTTAAGGTATGTCCGGTTTAAACCTTAATCCGCTCAACCCTCATCCGGTTTAGGACCATATCGTTTTTAATGCCTTAAGCGGTTTAGCCTTAAACCGCTCATGCCTTGATCGACTTACTCTTAAACCCGCCCACCCTTTATCCAGTTTAACTTAAGTCGCTCAATGCTTATTCAATTAAAACTCAAATCATGTGTAAAGCTTTTAAAACATAATCAATATGCAATCCAAAAAGGTTCAAAGTAGTTTAACCACTCACCTTGAAAGCCTTTTGCAAATCAGACACTTGAAAATCAGTTTTTGAAAACTTGCCAAGAAACAATCCGGTTAACACTTCTCTTCTAAATCGCACAACTTTTCAATTGGACAGAAAAAAAGTAAAGGAGGAGTTATGCCTCCTTTTATACTTTCTGTTGGGTTCAAGATTAGAGCTAAAATGTTGTATTCAAGTTTCTCCATTTGCTTAGCTTAATTGTAATTAGTTTAGTTTTATTTTCCTTAGTATAAATAGTCTTTCCTTTGTAATTGTAATTACATACAATTGATTACATCATTAATTCTGAAAAAGGTGATTTGACAGCCAAGTAATTCTCTCTCCAA